TCAAATTGACAGAAAAAAATGACAAGTTTTGTGGTAAACTAACAGAATAATACTTAATTAAAATGAAAAAAAAAGTCAATTTTATTCTAATTTATAAGTTCGTAAAATTTCATACCTTTAATTTGAAATTAATAATACGAATGTTACCTTACTTAAATGCAGGTAATCTTTTTGAAATATTTTAGGCGTATGGTTACTTTTATGTTTTCTCAACGTTTCATGACCCCTAAGAGCAGGTCCCCGTCTCCGTCTGTCTGTGTATCTGTCTATCTGTCATCTGTCGTCATACTCCTACAAGTGTAGTTTATGAATTCGTCTTAATTTTTACCTTATCCCTATACCTATGCCCAGATTTAAAACAAAAATTAATAACAACATTTTACGATTTAAATTTTGTAAGTGCAAAATCAAATGTTCTAAAACCTTACAACCATTATAAGATCGTCGTAAGCATGGTAAATTGTTGATCAAAATTTATCTGTTTATCACTACTAAAAACTTGATGACAACTTGAAAGGTGTGGAAAATTTAATTTTGGGATCTTGCACACTTTTCTAGAGTCGAGAAAGGGTTTCTAGAATCGACAGTCGTAGTATAATCAAAGACTCATCATTGCATTGTTAAGAAGAATAAGACTTATCAAACTTCTAGAATGACTTCATAAATTTTGATTAGCATTTTACCGTACTCTACATAACAATGTTAAAATACATCTAAAATTTCAAAGCAATTGTCTCGAAAATTATTATTTTTTGTCTAATTAACAGACGTTTTCGTATTCTACAAATGAACGCTTCTGAAACATCGCGAAATAACAAGAAAATTGTTGACTTTTGGAAGTTTTGAAAATCAATATGCAGAACCCATGCCAAGTGCGCATCGGTCGCATGCGCTACATAGACTCTCCCAGATAAAACTCTGTAAACGCCATTGTTTTTAGTTGTTGAAGGGGGAAGGGGTGCATTGCAAATATGACGCAATATGTGGAGACTGCATCGCGCCTCAAACCTATATTTTCTTAAATGTTTATCCGATCTTAATAAACCATTAGATATTAAGATTACAATGATATAAAATAGTTAGCTCCTTATTTTATTTTGATAAAAAAATATGAACATGAATATAAAAAAAAATAAAGCTGAGTAAAATAAAGTACATAGTATCATTTAAACCAATGTTGCCCGTGGTGGGAGTAAAATTATTAAAATTTGATTTTTCGAGTTTTATTTTTTTTTTAATGAAACCTCGTGTAAGTTAAAATAGAGATCCATCAATTTAAGTAGGTGTAGTGTAATATCAATAATAACAGTAGCGTATACTCCAATTTTCGAGAAAACGGGGTAAACCGTCCTTGATTTGATCAATAAAATAGATTGCCTCAACCTGTATAAGTAATTCTAAAAATATGAAAGTATTCATAAACAACAAGTATAGATTCAGACCATTTTACATATTTTAGATAGGATATAACGTCACCAATTTTTTTTGGTAGAGGACAAATAGATACATTTTGATTAACGATTTACAATGGTTACGACAATCTTACAACGCTAGCAAGATTTCAGAGAATTCGGTTTTACAGATTCCAAGTTAAATTGCACAATGTTGTTATACAATTTTGTTTTCTTTTACCAAAAATCTGGATATCTAGGGTGCGGATTCATAAACCACAAGTGGAAGAGTATCTTATTCTATAATCTATATAATTTGAATAACATTTAGTTACAATCGCAAATTTTGGAGCTGACGTCATTCCATTGTTGACAAGAATGATTAGACAAATTTTAGTTAGCGTTTTGCCAAATACACGATATTCCTAACATACATTAAAATTTGACGATAATCGCTGCAGTAGTTTCGGAGATTATCTGTCTAATAAAATTGACACAGAAAATAGACAGACAGACGGAAAGGTGAGACCTATTTTTTTGTATTCTAGGGGTCATGAAACGTCGAGAAAACAGAAAAGTAGCCATTTTACGAGTGGACTCTATTGCAATACTTTTTGCTTTCGCTTACGCTCAGTATTATAATCGAGTCCATCGACCGACTCTCTACTTTTACGTTTTCTCAACCTTACGAAGAAGAATATACAGTGGCGACCAAAATAAAGTAGGACATTTCTTGAAAGGATTTTTTTCAATAAATTTAGTTGTGTAAACTGGACTCAATTGAATAGGTATCCACTAACAACGACATATAAACGTTAAATACAAATTTGAAAGTGTCCTACTTTATTTTGGCCGCCACTGTATGTTTTCACCGCGACTCCGACGCCATATATGTGTTATATTTGCATAGCATTAATTTAAGTTTCCCCTTCAAGTTAAAAACAACAGCGTTTTTCAATATGTCTACATTTTCGAGGTATAAGCCAACGGGGTTTTATTTGAAACATCTGCATATGTATATTGTTACGTTGATCGGTAATTTAAACCGGTGTGGGTAAAATTCAACAATTTATTTCACAGTAATACGAAACTACACAACTAACTATACAGCGATTATATACAGAATAATTCCGACTCGACTAGAATGGATTTGACTAGACTCTACTTCTCCCATTGTATGTTGTACTGCACTGACTGTTCCCGACGGTGGTTCCCATTTGAACAGCACGCGGTCCTTCTCGAAAGATCGCCGTCACCGCTTCTAGGCTTGTTCACTAGAATGGATTTGACTAGACTCTACTTCTCTCACTCTACTGCACTGACTGTTCCCGACGGTGGTTCCCATTTAAACAGCACGCGGTCCTTTTCGAAAGGTCGCCGTCACCGCTTCTAGGCTTGTTCTCCAGCACCCAATGCGACTTCCGCTTTCAGGCTTTTCTTTAGCGAACGCCGTCCGGCCGCCGTCACCAAAGATGAGTCACTCATCAAGCCCGCATATATACTAGAAATAGGCGTCGCACCGGAGCAGCGTATGGGTTTATTTCGTAACAATATGTATTTACACAAAAATATGACAAACAACAGCTTTAACCGTTTAAGTAACTAAATCTCGAATACAAACCTTTTTACTTCCTGAGCGTAAGCAAAAAAAGTGTTGTAATCGAGTCCGTCGGCCGGCTCTCTACTTTTACGTTTTCTCGACCTTTCATGACACCTAGAGTACGAAGAGATAGGCCTCCCGTTTCCGTCTGTCTGTCGTTCCGGATTTTTATTAGACAGATATTCTCCGAATGTACTGGGCCGATTGTTGTCAAATTTTGTATTTATATTACGAATAGCATGACCAAACTTTGTCTACCCATTCCCACCAATAAGGTGATGACGTCACTTCAAAATTTCACATAGTAAATGGATTTTAAATTGTATGAAATAACATAGTCCTACACATGTAGTTTATGATTCCGTATTGAGTTTTTTCCAGGAACGTCCAGATTTTTGGAGAAAAATCAAAATTATAAAACGACATTTTTCAATTTAATTTTGAATCTGCAAAACCGAATGCTTTGAAATCTTGCAGATGTTTTAAAGTTATGATAAGCATGATACATTTGTCTATCCTCTCCAAAAAATTGATGACGTTGGCTCAAAATTTTGCCGTATAAATCCTATCTAAATTGTACGAAATATAATGAATCCGTACCGGTAATTTATCATTCCATTAATACTTTCTGGATTTGCTTATACAGGGTGACTCAAAATATTTAATGAATCAGTCAAATTATTTTATTGAATATTTCAATACTTTGAAATCATGCAGACGTGTTAAAGTTATTGTAAACCTGGTAAACTATTTATTAATCAAAACATATCTATCTGTTTATCCCCCAAAAAAATTAATGACGTTATCTCAAAATTTTGCCGAATAAATTCTTCCCAAAGCGTGCAAATTATGATGAGTTTTTACTTGTGATTTGTCATTGTATTCATATTTTTTACTTTTGCTTAAACAGGTGGGTCAAAAAAATTAATGAATGAGTCAATTTATTTTATTGATTAAATCAGGAACGGCTCACTCTATTTTCTCAGAAAATTTTGGAAATACAATACTGTTATTTTAAGTATTACATTGCACCAATCCAAGCTGATATACGTGTCCTTGTTTTTTCTTGCACTGGTAATACGCTATAGCCTACTTTTCTTTTGTACTGTGACTAGTATTATCCAGGTTGATGACGTCGTCACAAATTTTTTATTGCTCAAATTAAGAACGCGTCACCCCATTTTCTCGAAAATGTGAAAAATACGCACGCCTGTGTAATGATGACAAAGTAAGAATTATAATATTCAATACATTTTGTTGATTGTGGTTTAATTAATAATTTTATTAGTCCTGTGTTTTGAGAAGACAAACTGATTCAAATCAAACTAATTTCTACGTGACATTCTTGTGTATAAACATAAATAAACACTTGAGCGTTAGATTCCTATTACCGAATTTTGAAAGACAAGGGTTGTTAGAGACGGATCATTTTAAGTTCAACATGGTGAGATTGGTGAGTCGTGAGAATCTGACAACGGATTGTGAGTCAGTAATGTAACATGCACACTTAAGAAGGGAGCGGTTTTTAAATCAATTTAAAACTCTTATAGAATTTTAGTCACGCGTTTGGAAGGCAAAATGAAAGAGAAAATCCTTACTTTCACTCGGATTAGCAAAAATTTAGTTTCAGGCCTTGTTTCTACAAAGTATTTAAGCTAGGTCATTCTAAGAAAAGTATTCTCTATTTAATGAAAAATATTTTCTTTTTGATAGAAGCTACTAACACTTTAGTTTAGCAAACTAAATTTTCGTTTATGCATGACGTTACTTGATGTCAAACCACCTCCATTAGTTTCGCCAAGTAATCATGAATGAATTTTCTTTGCACAGGAAATAAAGTGCATAACTTTATTCTTGTGACTCAGTTATTTTAATTATCTTCAATAAGTCACGCCGTGATTACTAATAAATACCTTCAAATCAAAAACCATAATTAAACTCTATTACATACCATGCGGTAAAAGTACGTGATAACAATAAAGAAAAACATTTTTAAAAACAGATTTATTGGCTCATTTACTATTTGTGCCGTTCTGCGTCTGGCAGATAAAATTATTAAGCTGCAGCGGTCGTTGTAGCGGCTGTAGCTGTGTAAAAATTATTGTCATTATTTTATTTAATAATAAATAAGTAACACTTACAGACTACCACTTGTATGGTAATTCCAAAGCAATTAGCCTTCTTCTGAGCCAAAGATTGTAATCGGGAGATAAAACCAGGATGTTTATCCTGACTCAGAGGTGCCGTCTGACAACTCTACAAATAAAAATGGATACTTACATACACTAAAGCCATAAACTAAATACTACTTACTAGAATTAAAAATGCAGCCACTAATACAAACACTAAACCCCGGAACCTCATCTTTAACAGGTGACGCTTCAAATCTACACATCATCACTCACTTCCCCGAATTATATACAAGTATTTAACAATAACAAATTGTTCGTGAACTAACAACACATTACGGAATTTGCGGAAGTGGTCTTATTTATTTTTTTTATTTCCTATTACAGCAGTAATTACAAATAATAAATTTATTATTTGGAATCGTGATCTTTGGGATCTCCCCCTCCACCGAAACCAGCTCCAATTTGGAAACCCATGTCCATGCCCACTTTTCCACCAAAACCTAAACCTCCATCCCCACCGCCGTCTTGTCCGTAACGCATCCACCGTGAAGACTCACCATAATCAGGCACTTGGGCAGCCTGCAATTACGAGAATTTAATCAATGCTCAAAAATTTTTGAACGTATTACTATTATTACAGAGGCAACGAGAACTGTTATTATGACGTTCATTATAATTTGTGAATCCTGTCAGTGTGGCTACGCTTTATAAATTTTAAAATTGTTTAAAAAAACAACTTGTCGGAAATGTCAACATGCATGCAGGAGTTGCAGTAATATAAAAAGTGCATGATTTGTACTCGAATACATTTAATTACAACAGTTACAAAAAATATTTCCTAGTTCGAACGCCATTTTGACTGTCTACTTAAAAAAAAAAAACAAAGTTATTTGTAGGAAGGCGTTTATTTGTTCGAATTTTTTAAAAGCTTGCCATCGTCGTCGTCATCATCATCACAAGATTCATCACTGCAACTTTCGTCTGACTCATTGTCAAACATCGAACCAAAAATAGGGGAAAATAGTGACCCTTTCAAAAAATCTACCCCTTCTAGATTACGTCCATTCCGGCTTCCAATCTCGCTATTGTTTGTCAAAGATTCCACAACGTTGGTGCCAGAAGTGGTTTTATTTTCTTTAGGGACGTCACTGGTTTTACTGTCTTCATTATTTTTCTGAGGGCGTGGTAATTTACCCCCTCCCCTTCTACTCACCCGACGTCGAGCGCAGAAACCCGAAGACTAAAATTTGATTAATTCATTCACACAGCTAAACTTGACTTACCATTAATTACCAAAATAAGAATAAATATTAACAGGAATAAGTGAATAGATTTCATTGTTTCACGCACCGATCATTCTCTCACAAATTTCGAAAGATCAATGCGCACATTTCGCCCACAAAAATTGCAAATTATATGTCCGATTCTTAATGAGGAAATAATGGAGGGTTGCGAAACGAAAATTCGGCAAATTCTGTTGATATTAATTTAGGGTTCCACTAATTATTTCATGGTAAGTATCATGTAAGTTGAAACGACGAAATAAGATACAAAAATGCATGAAAATCATTTATTCCTACATTGCGCAATTGGGGTTAATCAGGTATCAAAATTATTATTAGGAAGTTTGACTCTCGGCTTTTTCGGATCCTTCTTGGGTTTGATCGTCACTTTCAGGGCTGCGTTTAACGTTATGGTGGACTAACGGTGCAGGATTTGCTCCACCACCAGCACCAGCACCAGCACCGACCTCGGCTTTAAATCCCCCTGAAACGCCGCCTCCCATTCCTCCACCAGGCATTTGGGCCGTTGCTTCTAAAGTAACCTAAAAGGTGCATGTTTAAAAAAAATCATAAAAGAAGAGACAAGAATTGCACATAATTCAAACTTAAGGAAACGTGAATTAGAATGATTCTAGACACATTTTCCAAGATTTTTCGTAGCAACTTTACAATAAATTGACAAATCCGATTAGATGAAATATCTTATTTATTTTTAAAGAGTATACTTACTACAACAAAGACAACAAGAAACACTACCAAGAACTTCATGCTGGATGCTCTTTCAGAAAATCAGCTTGGATCTGCTTGACACTGTGGTTATTTATATGTGAGAGAAATACATCATTTTGCGTAAAAAATCGGAAACGTAAATTGCAAAAATCTTGTTTAGTTATAATTAGTCAGTTTCATTAGGATGTGCAATTGCTGTTACAACAAGATAAATGCCTACGATAAAAAGATATATCGGAAATGTTGCTAATCAGAAATGCAAACTAGCATTGCGAACACAGGTTTAAATAATATAGATTCATCAAGCCGTTCTTTTTATGATAAATTATTGTTAACTAAAAAATAAGAGTAATAAACTACACGTCAACATCGATAAAGCATCGGCTTTCAAGGCTATAATTATTTTTAGTTGAAAATGCTGTTCTCAATTTCTTAAAGAGTCCATGATTCAGACATATAATTGGCTCAAACGGCAGAGGAAAATAATCTTCCAAATGAAACTAATAGTCATATCGTCTTGAACGAGCTATTAACTCGCAAGGCTAACTTAGTGGAACCACTAAGGATGTTTATTATCAAAACGGCATAAGTTATCAACAGAAGTTGGAAAATACCATGTATGTTACTAAAAATTGGTCCAATGTTATTTCGACAGAACTTCCGTCGCCTATAAAGTACAATCTAACTTCTTCAAAAAAATTGTTTTGTTTAGTGTTTACCATCTACACGATATTTTTAATATACACATAAAATTTGAAAGCAATCGGTCCCATAGTTTTGGAAATTATCTAGTAAAAATTCGGAGAAACGACAGAGACAGATAGACAAAAAAAACAGACGGACGGTCACGGGGGACCTATTTTTTCGTACTCTAGGGGTCATGAAACGACGAGAAAACATAAAAATAGCCAGTTGCCCATTGAACTCGATTACACTACTCCTTTAGATTATGTTGACGAAATCTGATGCAGTGATTTTAAACTTATTTTTTTACTTCCTGAGCGTAAACTAAGGAAGTAAAGAAATCCAAATTTTGGAAATTTAATCAAACTAAAAAAATTGGTCTAAAGAGTTTAGACAGTACTTCCCTCGCTGTCGGAAACGTGACGACTGCAGGCCTATTATGTTTTTTTTTCGCAGTGGATTTCAAAGAATTCGGTTTTGTAGTTCTTGAGTAAATCAATGAAATAAATGTACGCATTCATTTATTTTTTTGAGTCACCCTGTATATGCATATCCAAGAAATATGAATGGAGTGATAGATCACAAGTACAGACTCATCATATTTTGTACATTTTAGATATGATTTATTCGGCAAACTTTTGAGCTGTCATCAAGTTTTTGGAGGGGATAAGCAAATATATTTTGGCTAACATTTATTATGCTCTTTATAACCTTAAAACATCTGCAAGATTTCAAAGCATTCGGTTTTGTAGTTCCTGATTAACCCAATAAAATAAATTCACGCATTCATTAATTTTTTGAGTCACTCTGTATATGCAAATCGAAAAAATTTGAATGGAATGATAAATCACAGGAAGAGACTCATCATATTTTGCACAGTTTAGATAGGATTTATTCGGCAAACTTTCGAGCTGACGTCATCAATTTTTTGGAGGGGATAACCAAATATATTTTGACTAAAAATTTATTATCCTCTTTATAACCTTAAAACATCTGCAAGATTTCAAAGCATTCGGTTTTGTAGTTCCTGAATAAATCAGTAAAATAAATTTACGCATTCATTAATTTTTTTGAATCACCCTGTATATGCAAATTCAAAAAATATGAATGGAGTGATAGATTACAAGTACAGATTCATCATATTTTGTACATTTTAGAAATGATTTATTCGGCAAACTTTTGAGCTGACGTCATCAAGTTTTTGGAGGGGATAACCAAATATATTTTGGCTAAAAATTTATAATGCTCTTTATAGCCTTAAAACATCTGCAACATTTCAAAGCATTCGGGTTATCAGATTCAAAATTAAATTTCAAAATGTTGTTTTATAATTTTGATTTTTTTTTCCAAAAATCTGGACGTTTTGGGTGAAAACTCAATTCGGAGCTGTAAACTACATGTGTAGGACTATGTTATTTTATATAATTTAAAACCCATTTACTATGTACAATTTTGAAGTGACGTCATCGCATTAGTAGTGGGGATGATTAGACAAATTTTGGTTAGCGTTTTACCATCTACATGATATTCCTAATATAAGTACAAAATTTCATAACAATCGGTCCAGTACTTTCGGAGATTATCTGTCTAATAAAAATCCGGGACGGCAGACAGACGGACAGACGGACAGACGGACAGACGGACAGACGGACAGACGGACAGACGGACAGACGAACAGACGGACAGACGGACAGACGGACAGACGGACAGACGGACAGACGGACAGACGAACAGACGGACAGACAGACGGAAAGGGCAGACCTATTTCTTCGTCTTCTAGGGGTCATGAAAGGCCGAGAAAACGTAAAAGTAGAGAGTCGGCCGATGGACTCGATTACAATACTTCCTTTGCTTACGCTCGGGAAGTAAAAAGTACCACAAGAATTCCTGGTACAATGAAATATAATAATGAGCACATCCTTGAGGGACCAGATCTTATTGTGAATGCATTTAAGTCGGTAATAATGAATGTTGTGCAAGTTGTACATATTTCCGAAAAATATGTTTGCTTATCTTTAAAAAATTTAAAAATTTTTGTACTATAGGTCTGGATGGTTTACCGAGCTTTTTGCTAAAAGATTGTACTAGCGTATTTATTCAGCCTTTGGTGTATTTGTATAATTTAACCATAACAGTTATCTTCCTAGTAAAATGGAAATCAGCAACAATTTGTCTGATATTCAAAGAAAGGGAGAGAGCAGATATAACCAATTACAGCCCAATCTCTCTCATGAACAACTTTGAGAAAGCACTTGAAAACAATCTGTATAAATACTGTTACGAAATAAACCCATACGTCCCCCCCCCCGTACGACGCGTATGGGTTTTAAGTACATACGGCGACGATAACTCATTGTCCGTGACGGCGGCCGGAGAGGAGCCTGGAAGCGGATGTCGCGACGGGTGTTCGAGAATAAGCCTAGAAGCGGTGACGGAGACCTTCGAGAAGGACCGCGTGGCTGTTTAAATGGGAATCACCGTCGAGAGCAGTTAGTGTAGTCCAAACAACGAGAGCTGAATTCAGTTAACAAGTCGAGTCCAACGAGTGTC